AGGATCAGGGAAAGTCCTGGGGGCAAATGCTTGCCTCCCTCTTCTTCCTAGGTCTCTGTGTCCTCCAAAGGGACAGCCAAGCTGCAGCGGAAGAGGGACAGTGAGCACTAGACTCTGAAGCTTCCTCCTCAGCTCAGCTGTCTCCCCAAGAGACAGCCGGGCTGCGGAAGCAAAGGAAGGGTACTGAGACCCACATTTTACCCCTGACTTATCCAGAGGTCATATCAAAATCCCTGATTTTGGCCCCAAAACCTGCCCTCAACTTATACATGGTGTCGACTTATACATGAGTATATACAGTACATTAAAGCTGATGAAACAGCATGATGAAATAAATCAGTTCTTCTCAAAGGTGCCGTAGATTCCTTCTACCTACCACTCTCATTTCCCTTTTTGTATTGTCAGTATAAAATTTCAGAAGAAAGGGCATGTTATATATTCATGCATAACTTCTTTAGTGATTCAGAATGCAGCTGGCTGATGAGAAAACGTCACACAAGTTTCTCCTAGGAAGCATCTTTTTTTATCTACAAGGAATGATTCCTGAAATGTTGAACTGCTGCACCATTATGGTTTCTTTTCTGTACAGATGCATCCAGTTGAGCCCCCAAAGCCCTATGTATATGGGAAAGATACTACATTGTTCAGATGTCCTACACCAACTACCCCAAGTAGCTGGCAAGCCAGAACAATTTCAGTTCCCAGTCTGAAACAGAATGCCTTAAGGCTTCTGGGTCTAGAGTATGTGCATTCTTACTGTTATTTGAGAGCTTATGGACTGGGCAGATCCTAGGTGTATTTCAGGATGTCAGGTTAAATACGCAAGAAGGACACCAGCACAATAAGGTGCTGAATAGGAGGTTTTGTGAATCAAATTTTTACTAAACGTTTTAGAGAGTGTACTTACCCCTCCATGTTTCAATCTTGTGTTCCTCTAATTCATAGATTTGTACCTGAAAAGAAAAAATAGTAATCTAAAGCTTGATCAGAACAGATCCTCAGAGGAAAGACAAGTGGTTAAAATATGATGACATAAAGAAAAAACAAGAGAATTTGAAATGAAACCACTAGAACAAATTAGATCTGGAGATTTAAACCATGGATGGTTTTTATACCATTAAATGAAGTCTAGACTTGAAATAGATTTAAAAAATGGTGGGAATAGCTAGTATAAAGACAGAGCTGGAAGAAATCATATGGATAGAGAAATGTACTATGCTATCAAGAATATATAAAAATTGTAAGAAATCTATTTGGAAGAAGAGTTGGTGAAAGAAAATATGATTTTATGGGCCAAAAACTGTGGGAAAGCATTATAATTAGCTTAATGGGAGAAATCTTGGCGTGGAAGGCTAATGTATTTGGATAGTCAAGAATTTTTTTATAAAATTATGTATAGGTGGCATTCTCGCCGGACAAAATAAGTAGAATATATGGAAATAGAGAAAATAAATGGTGGAAATGCGGGAGGGAAAAAGGCACCTTCTTTCATTTGTGGTGGGAATGTGTTGAGGCATTTTTTTTTTTTTTTTTGGAATGTTATAAATGGAAGTTTAAAAGAAATATTAGAAATTGATTTAGGATTTAGTCCAGAAGTTTTGCTACTGAATATGATAGAAGAAAAAATAGAAAAGAAATATGGTAAGACTATCTTTTATATGTTAACAGCAGCTAGATTAGTGTATGCAAGATACTGGAAAGTTAAAAAAGATATACAAATTGACGAATGGGTCCTTAAGCTGTTTGATATGATAGAAGCGGATTTGATGTCAAAAAATTTAAATGGAAAAATGATGGAATGTGATACAGAAGAATAGGACAAAACATTTACATATATAAAAAAGAAATGTCCGAATCTCCTGATAGTAGATAAAATTGGAAATAATGGAGAAGAATAAAGAAGAAGATTGAGGACTACTCAATATATAATATAATTTCTAATATATCAAGGCATGTATGTAGTTATAAGTCGGAAAGACTGATGTAGAGATTATGTTAAAAGCTGATAAGCAGAAAAGTAAAGAATATATATATGAATTGACGATAGGGTGGTAAACAGGAAGTTTTGTTTGTAATTTTTTTTAATGTTGATAAGTTTGTAATGTTTGTAAATGTTATTAGTGTCATATGTTTGTATGTGTTATATGTTCAATGTCTTGTAAATTATGCTTTTTCTTATTGTTATATTGTTTCTCATAAATAAAAAAAGAAAACTTTCAAGTCAATTCCAATTTATGGTGACCCCTAAGCTGAACCTATCTTAGGGTTTTATTGATAAGATTTGTTCAGAGGGGGTTTGCACTTGCCTTTCTCTGAGGCTAAGAGACTGTGTGTTGCCCAAGATCACCCAGTACGTTTCCATGGCTAGGCAGGGATTCGAACTCTGGTCTCCAGAGTCATAATCCAACCTCAAAACACTACACCACACTGACTCTCCTTACACCACACTGGAAGACTATTAATATGTACCACTTTTTGTGACCATTCATTTCTCATTCTGGTCTAATACTGACATAACACTAATAATAGATAAAGAATCAGAAGCATTCTGCATGACTGTCTTCTCTACTCTGGAACCCACAAACCTGCCTGTTCCACAAACCCAATTTCCTTTGATAGTATTACATGGTTTTAGAGCTAACTGTGGTTCATCTTAGTGTGGACACTACAGATCACAATTAGTATAATTGTTGCATGTCAAAAAGGCAGTTCAAACCTTATGCACAGTTATATTGACACTTCACTAGGTGCATGTCTATCTTTTAAACAGCATTCTCCTCCACAACTTATCACAATTGTATCTTGGACATTCATTTTGCAGAATCACATATATACAGATCCAATGCCCCACCTTCACACAAGCATGAAATTATGACACTAGACATGGGGATAATAGGGAGGCTAAAAAGGACAGGATAATTACCTGGCAAGTGTGGTTTTTAAAGCACTCATCCATGCATTCACACACATCTACACCTGCACAGGGATTCATTTTGGAATCTTGAAGAGCAGACCTACTTCCCCCACCCTCAAGATAATCCTATCCCTCAGGTCAAGGCTAATGGCTAATAGGTCTGGCTAAAAATAAAATACAAATGTATCTTGAGGGTAGAATGGATGGGCTTTGTGACTGTGTAGATAACCACTTGAAGAACAGGTTGCTTACTTGTAACTGTGGGCCGGCTATAGTCTCGAAGGCACCCTCCGTCACCGGCCCAAATAGGAGTGGAAAAATGTCACTCCTATTTGGGCTGGGCTTGGGCTGCCTTAGGTGGAACTTTTTGGCACTCCAGGAGTGTGCGGTATCAAAATGCCACACCCCTGGAGCATCTTGAAGCCCTCCCTCCATTACCATCCGATGTCATCTGGGGGAGAGACACTAGGCCGAACACCATCGGGCCTAAAATAAGAAGAAGAGCCCTCCCTCCATTACCATCCGATGTCATCTGGGAGAGAGACACCAGGCCCAGCACCATCAGGCCTAGACTAAGAAGAAGAGCCCTCCCTCCATTACCATCTGATGTCATCTGGGGGAGAGACACTAAGCCCAGCACCACCCAGCCTAGAATAAGAAGAACACTTACTTCTTAAAGGATGGGTGGGATTCGGGATTTTATGTTTTGTTTAATGGAAATTGTAATGTTGTAAGCCGCCCCGACTGCTCTGCAGAGGGGCGGGATATAAATAAAAATTATTATTATTATTATTATTATTATTATTATTATTATTATTATTATTAGTTGGCTGGACAGTTTCAAGGCGTTGCCCTCAAGCTGCCTGGAAACCAGCTTTTATGGCCAGTCTGTTCCGGCCCTGTGAATCAAACAGATCTTGTGTTTGTGCATGGAGACCACAATGATGAGCTGAGGCCCCTCCAGAATACCAAAGGAGCCAAAAATGGAGTGGTGTGACCCTCCAGGCACACCCCTTTCCTAAGCAAAGAAAAGACCGCTGGCATTTAAAGGTGAACATGATAAAAACTAAAATGCAAAAACTGAGTGAGTATATAAATGAGAGAGAAGGAAATATAAAACTAGAAACAGAAACTCCTCGAAGAAAGGAAAAGTAGTGTATCCACTCTAGCACATAGGCATATTTCACTACATCTTACAAGATGCCAGTAAACTGGATGCACTGTATTTGTTCTAACTGCATTCTAACAGTGAAAGATACTGTCTTGAAACCATGCAAATGACAAGAACGAAGAGGCATACTGGTGTCTATGCCTTGTTGATGGAGTAAGAAATCTTTTTTTTAAGTGCTTGAATCTTTGCAGCTCCCTTTGAATCTTTGCAGCTCCCTTTAAACCATGTACCAATTTTGGTATATAATCTGACTTGTTGACATTACTGCAACAGTAATGCTTTGAGTAATGACAGGAATGTTTGCAGCAATGGAAAAACTTGAGCTTTGTACACAAATTCCTTGGCATGGGTGTTTGCTGTTATAATACAAAATAGGGATTCCTGTTACTCTAGAAACTCCAGCTTTCTTCATTATGGATTTAAAAAAACATGGAATCCATACACCACTGCAAATATGGAAATATTCAAACTTTTTGAATATGTGAGACTCCTACAACATTTTGATATCATTGGATTTTAATGCACTATAAATATAAACACTGTTATTTCAAGATTTTTTGAAATCTGAAATGGCCTGCTACAGATACAACAGTCTAGCTTTCTGCTAACCATGATTTGTAGTTAGGGAGCCAGATTCATGAATGGTACCTTCCTTGCCACTCCTTCCAGACTGACCAGTTTCATTGCAAATTAAAACTTGCAGCCATTTTTAGAAACAAATTTGAAGATTTGAATATTACAGAGCCATCTATAGCATGAAACCCAGAAAATGCCAAGGAAAAGGAAGAAAACACTCACTCTGGAGATACCTGAAGACTGAGTGAGTGAAGGAATGAGGAAGAATCCCTGAGTATGGCACCTGACTTGCAAAGTAATTTTGGTAGCAGGACTGGGCAAAGTGTTACCCTGGGATCTCAGAACTCTCTTCGCTGTGCTTGGACTTTCCATAGACTCTTTGAACCGCCCCTTTTCTTGTTCACCGAAGAGGGTGAAGTGTCTCTCCTGGAAGACTCCAGGAGGGGCAAGTTCATATTTTATAAAAGTTGCAGGGCCCTCATCCACTATTTAACATACCAGTTTCAATAACCAGAAGTGGGGCTCTGGTTGTGGGGTTCTTTTTTCAGGGTGGTTTGGTTTTTTGGAGGGTGAGTTCTGTTTGCTTGCTGTTTGCATTTTTGACAGGCTAGAGCAGGGGTAGGCAACCTTTCCCCTTTAAGGGCCGAGGGACTTCAGCTCCCAGAAGCCTCAGCCATGTTGGCCAATAGTCCCATGTTGGCCAATAGCTCCTGGGATTCTGGGAGCTGAAGTCCCTCGGCCCTTAAAGGGGAAAGGTTGCCTACCCTTGGGCTAGAGGGTCCCTGGTGCAGAAAATTGGTCACTGGATATGCCTCAGTTGCCAGGAAGTTAAGAGTTACATATGAGCTAGTCTTAAACAGTATCAGTTTAAATAACAAAATTACAAGAAGACATTTGATTTCTTGGATTACTAGGGTCAAATGGAATCTCCAAAACAGAACGATTAGCAATATTTCAAATCCTCATGAATTCCTTCTTCCTCATGTGCTAATTGTTTCCACCATTTCCTGGCTTCATAATTTGTCCAATTCAAATTGGAAGAAACTAGGAAACAGAAAAGGGAACTTTCATACACAAAGGAGAAGGAGAAATGCACAAGTCTGACACATAGTTCCAATCCTGAATTATGAGTAGAAGATGCTTTCAACTGAACCAAATACTGCTATTTACAACATGATTGATTCCATTATGAAATTCATTAAAGCTACTTGGTGAATTTATCGTTTCAGTAGCAAGCTCTGAGCAAAGCTATTCATCTTCTATGTATTAAACGGCTGATTGTAATTTCTGCTTAACTAAAGAATTCTGCTGCTACTATTAGTTAACAGATATATAGAATTAACAGGTACTTCACCAAATAGGCTCTTCTACCATAGAACTGCATTAAAGCTTAACTAATTCCTCACTGTTAATATTCCTTCTAAAATAGTGGCAAAATATGGTGTTAAATGGTTCACTAATTTTGCTAATTAAGTGGACGATTACCACCAAGATGTACCCTAGACACTGATGAAGCTAAATATAGAATTCTGAAGAATAACTGTGGCAGAAAATGACTTTGGAATCTCATCAGTCCTATATTGTTGGGCAGCAAGAAACACCACCATTAGCCAGTTCCAATAAATTGCAATTACTTATATACTTGTGGAAAGAATAGAACGGTCACATAAGCAGATCAAAAATATGTAAGCCACCACCATTCACACAGTGACAATCGCCATTCCTAGATGTGACACATTTTGTTCTCACTATAGTGGTAGACTCACATGATTGAATGCTCCTCACCTATGAAAGTCCATCCACACAACAAATCTTCCTTCTGCCCAACATCTAATTCTTTATGTGCAACAGGTGTTATGGATAGAGGCATAAAATCAAGCAAGTAAGCAAGCAAGCATCTAATCTACAGTCTAAGGAATACTGCTGAAATACTGGCTACCATTTCAGCAAAACAGCCCTTACCTTAGCTATGCACAGTTGCTTTCTGGCACAGAAACAGTGGAGAAAGGGAAAGGCAGAAGTAGGACTGGGAGCAACCCATCTATGCAGTATCCTAAAAGAAGCAGTGGAAACCAAACTATCTGACAAGTATCAGGTATTTGTTATAATCAGAGAACTGCAGCCAAATATTTAGCTGATTAGTTCAATTCCATGTGAAATTCAGCCCAACAACCTTTACCTGCCTTCAGTATTTTAGTTGTCAAAGTTCCTCCTCATAGCCATTCCCATTTTGTCCAGATCGGCTAGATTCCTCTATCCCTAGACTTTTGTGTGAGAATTTTCTACTGTTTCATTTTCAACCTGGTCTAGGGCTACACTGGTTTATTCGAGATTGGCCAGTTTGGAGACAAATGGATGCCTAGTTACATGCATAAGCAAGAGAGAAAGTACGTGTATACACAGTGGTAGACTTATAGGCTAAAACTTGGCTCATTTTCAGTTAGCTGAAGCGTATGTAAATATTTCCTATTTTTGATTGTGGCACACATCTGACTGAGATTGATTAATCTGCAGGAACCTACTTAGTGCTGGTGGTATTACTAAATAACAGGGGATAGAACAGCATGCCATACTCACATCTTAGGTGAACAGAATTTTTTATGGGTTGAGAGGTTGGAGTTGCCATGATTGTTCATTCTGGGATGGCAGGAGGGTCAATCCACTACGTGCCAACCAGACTGGCAAGAGCTCATGTGTTGTTGTGGTTTTTGTTACAGCCATTCAGCTCCTTCCTTCCTTTAACAGTTAGATTATCTACTCTTAAATAACCT